TGCTCTAGGTGTGCCTGCTTGAGCAGGAAGGTTGGACTAGATGGTCTCTAGAGGTCCCTTCCAAGCTTAAATATTCTGTGAATCTGTGAATATATGAGTCTGCATAGAAGAAACTTTATCTGCATGGATGACTAGGAAACTCCTGACTGAGCTTAAGCATGAACAGTAAGTATGCMGACAGAGAAAACAAGGTTGGGAGCAATACAAGGGCCATTGCCTGAGCTTGCAAGCACAGCATTAAAAAAGTTAAAGCAAAGTAGGAGTCAAAAATAATAAAAGATTCAAATGGCAAGGGATTCTGTGAATATAACACCAGGAAAGTTAAGCCTAAGGAAAATACCAGCCTTATTAGCAGATAGAGGGAAGCACACTAGATATCCAGAAGTAGGCTGGTTCTGGGGGGCATRCATTTAAGGCTACTGAGGGAACTGGTGATCCTTGCCCTCTATTCAGCRTTTATGAAACCATATCCTCAGTGTTTTGTCCAGTTTCAGGCTCTCCAGTGTAAGCATATCTAAGAACACTAGATAGTCCAGCAGAAATACATCAGAATGTTCAGGATGATGAAATATTTGATATAATAGAGACATTGGAGAAGGCTGGATTCATTCAGCCTTCAAGGGGAGAGATCCTGTTGCTGTCTGTCTAGTACAAGAAAGAGACAGGCTCTTCACAGAGAAGCACAGTGGTACAAGAAGCAGCAACAATTCAAGTTCCAGTTAGATATTATTTTTATTTTTACCATAAGGGTATTCAAATGGCTGCCCAGAGAGGCTATAATATCTCCATCCATACAAATATTCAAAAACACAACTGTGCAATGTCCTGAGACATTTAATCTAACCAGATCTGTTTCATGCCACGGTGGGAATAGATGACCTCTGGAGGTCCATTTCAAGATAAATGAAATGACTTTATGATTCTTATGCAAGGCCAGATTTAAGAAGTGTACTCCACTACRGATTAAAATAAAATATTTGTGGAAAGTTATAAAACTAACATGATTTTTTAGAACTTGGACTGCTAAAAGATATGTGCAATGAAATACGATTGTAGATCATAAGACCAGGAACTAAACAAACACAAGATACTCTAGATAGTTATCTCTTCAGCTTGAAAGTATTTAGTACTCAAGAAACCCTCTTTTTCAGATGACAAATACTGCCACAAATACTGAGAGCAAAATATTCAGAGGGAGTATGAATATTTTCCCGAGTGGTCCAACGCAAAACTAGATGAAATGCTAGAAACACTTCCACTGATTTAAGTAACTAATGGAGAATTTTGATAGGTCAAAGTTGAATCAAGATGGTTGGTGATCACTGTCACAGATCTGTCAGTGAGGYCAGCTGAGTCAGTTCCAGGACTTCAGAAGGCACAAGGAACCACTCAAAAATACAAAATTATCTGCTCACAAATACCTTGCTAACTACAGAAATGCTCTGATCTGCTCAGTCCTAAAGCAAAGAGAAGAGGGAGAAATTATTCTGTCTTTATTTTATCTAAATGGATCTTTGAAACCTTCACTATCATTATCTCTTTCTTTTCCTCACTGTTGTTAATTCACCATCCTGTTTCCCATTAGGYTCCAATGACTTCAACAGGTCAATTATTTGACCAAACCAAAATATACTTTCTGCTTATGTTTTCCATTTTGTTGCTATTAAATTTCYTCAATTTTCTCTTAATCTAAGCAGCCCAAGATCGGATAAAGAAAAACAGGGTAGAAAAATATAGAATAGATAAAAATTAATACTATTTTTATCCTAACAAAAATCTCCCCAAAATTTTAAGACTTACATGTTTGGCTACAAGTGGTGGCTTGTTCTCATTGTCTGGATGGCACTCTGCAGATCGCAAGCTCGGTCTGTGCAGATGCTGTGGGTTCTCTGTGGGAAGGTCRTAGAAGTGGTCTCTAATGTTTGGAGAAGGAGCCCGTGATTTTAATGATGTTTTATGCCTTTTGTGGATCTTCTCCCTTTTCACTGATGTCTTGCACTTTGTTAATGCCTTGCTCCTTCGTTTGGGGGACGCAGATGCAGATCTTTGATTCCTTGTTCTGTTTGGGAACTGGCAAAGAAGTTAACTTATCTGAGTGAAAACAGGTAGAAGGCATTTGCAATCTTCCCACGAACAGGATAGCAAGCTCTAAGCAGAACTTAATTAAATGAACTAGTGACCATGTGAGAATTTGGATCTTTGTATGGAGAGAATCTTCTCTGATGAAGTACATCAAAATCAAAACAAAAAGAAGTTAGCATGGACTCATACATCTCATCTCCATCTATTTTATCACTGTTGTATAACTTCCAACCTAGGACTCARCCTTGAAATACTCTGCAGTAGCCTCCATGAAACTCAGAAAAGGGTTGAGAATTCTTCAAAAAAGTAGATGTGAACTCACAAAATTGAGAACTTTGGTTAAAATTTTGTAATTCTGATTTCTGCAGAAGCTTATTCAGGTGAACATCGTGAGGATCTCAGGTCAACAGTTAAATTATGTGAGGCAAATTCAGCAGCTGTTACTCAAACATAAAAGTTTCATCTCCTGTGAGTGCTTTGTTCTAGATAAGAGGACAGAATTTTGTCCTCATAGGTTAATTACCTAACAAAAAAMCTGATAGATAGACAGTAAAGAAAATACCACAATAACTGATAGCATTGTCTCAGAGAAGGACTAACGGGTTGAAAATCAGTCTAGATCAGAAGCTGTAGGTAAATTAGGGAAATGTATTCACTAAGCAAAAACATAGAAATATTTGTAAAATATAGACACTGACAGCAAAAGCAAGAGGCAGTTAAATGCCATCATGAGATCAATATCTGACAAAATATTACCTTTATCAGAAAACAAAATCAAGATCTATTTATTTCTATTTGCTTTTCCTGGAATGAGCTATTGCGTTTCCAGCGACAGAATAATAGGGATATAAGAGCAGCTAGCACAGCAGATGTCCAACTAAGAGAGGGGTAACTGGTTCATGGTCAGATTTGTTATTGCTATGACAGAATCCAGGACCACTGTCATGACTTTAAATCTTGTCATCCTGCTATGTGAGATATCTAGATACAAAGGTGACAGAGGCTACAACATGCAGCAAGTGGACTCTATGAGAGGTTAGTCCATTTTAATGAGGTCTGAAACTGAATCCTTAATTACTTACAAAATTTTTCCCTTTGCAGCAAAGTGGAAGATCTGTAATCGTTGTTCTTGTGGAGAATTCTATTTTTGGTGCTATTCCCTTAAAATAAAACAAGGGAAAAGTTTAAAAATATTACCACTATGTACACACCTTTCCCCATTCAGCATTCAGATGGAATATTTCAAGTTCTTTGTGGCAACTGCATCATCAAAATGAAAGAGGCACTGCCACTAGAAAACACATGTAGTAAACTCATCAKCAAGGAACAATTTGCAAAGTAGCATGGCTGTGAAAAGCAGGAATTTGACCTTAATCTGCTAAGTAGGGATGCAAGAGACACTTTTAATAAGCATAAACCTTGCAAGATGGGAAGYATAAAGCACAGGGCAGTGAAATCAAAACACACATTGGAGATATTAACACATTACTGGAGCATTCTTCATAAAGCCAGGACTGTGAGAAAAGGTGAGCAGAATGGACTACCTAAAAGGACTACCTAAAAGACATATAGCTCTTCATTATTTGATTAGCAGTTTTGTTCACACACTGGTCTTCTTGATGAACTAGGATGTTTGAAAGTACACTTCCAAATGCGTGAAACTGAATGCCACAGAGGTTCCACTCAAGATCTCTTTAACAGAACATGCTGACTAAAGTCAAGCAATAGAACAAATTKCTCAGAAAAGTTGTAGAATCTCCATCTCTGGAGCTATTCAAGACTCATCTTGACAACAGTTTCATCAGATTAGATCTGTTTTGAACAGAGGTTAGATTAGATGGCCTCTAGAAGTCTGCAACCTGAAATTTTCTATGGCTGTCTTAAAGAGTATGAAATTATTCTCCTCTTCTACTTTCTACTACTCCTACTAATTTGCCAAGGCAGCTGGGTTCTCAACAGCATGTCAAATTGTTTAACCTGATCAACTCAAAGCATTTTAATCTCTAAATAACATTATAAATAACTAAATAACATTAAAAATGTGTTTCCCCTTAATAATATTCACATCGTATCAAAGGAAATCAGATTAGTTACATATCTGTCTCATAATTTACAGTCATTCTGATGTTTCCTAAGAATGAAGTTAAAATTCATACCACATAACATTTGGCTAACTAGAAAATGTAGTTCTACATTTCTATTCCAAAAATATGATGAGAATTTTGGTAGCAGGCAGAACTTTCCAATAGTTTTCATTTTTTGGTTTTTTTTTTTTTTTAAACAGACTTGTACATTTCTTCATTTTCAACTAATGCAAAGTCAGTTTTTCATTTGAAATAATTACATTCTAAACTGTATAGAAATCACAAAAAAAAAGCCTATGAATCCATAAAAATTTGAGTCTGCACAAATGACACTCCTCTCTGCTTCTCCTCACAGCTATTATAAAATGTACTATAGAGAAATTACTACAATTCAAATCAAATTTACTGCTTCTTTCAAAATCCATAATGCAGTGACAGGAATGAAATGCATTTTTTGGATGCTATTACTGTTTTGGGAACCCATTAACCCTATGTAGGAAAGGCACTTGCAGGATTCACAATGGGAAAAAAAAAAGTGTAAGAGTTTCAAGGGATGGGTGAAAACTAGAGCAGAGTTGCAGAGTTGACAGAATGAGACCTGCACATGCAGAAAGCAAAATGGGCAGAAAGCTGTCATTCTTATATGCACTCCGTGCAAASAAATATAAAAATCTGATAATTATTTGGTCCCCTCACAGATTGTGAGAAAAGAGGTGTGTCTTCTGCCTACATAGAGATTTTTCTTTCTCTCTGTGCCTAACATGTTAAGCTTGTAACTATCTGATGCATCCTCTAAGAAATTTCCACAAGAAAGAGGACACCCAAGCATCTCCCTCTGCTCAAGAAGACCAAAAGTGTATTCAGTACATTCCAGTCCTCCCTAAGTTACTCCTAGATAGCTGGCCTCCTTACTTCACACATGGTAAATAGGCAGCCAGCTTACTGGGAAATGAGAAGATGTTTTCATCAATAATTCTCTGTCCACACCAGGATATGCAGGAGTCAGCTTTGGCTCTGGGAACAGAAAATCTCGAGTATTCTCTTCATAAAATGCAAGGCCATCTCCTATTGAAATAATAAAAAACAAAAATAAATAAATACAAAGTGAAAAACAATTGCCAGGGTTGTTGTTACAGAATTTTGTTGAAGAAACAGATGTCAATAAAAACTCAGTAATGTATGAATGTTTTTGACAGAATGTTGTTCCTCTTGTGCACACAGGATGCTTTCAGAAATAGGTAGAAGCAAAATGGAGACAAATTTATGCTTTCAATTGTTATGGAAGATTTTGGCTTAGCATAGCAACAGTGAGTCTTGATACTATTCTTAACATTCCTTTTACCAGGAGTACCTCAAACCACCTTGGGRATGGGAATGGTTGAAGGCAGACTGCACACTTATACCGTGCAGAATGCCCAAAGCTGCAACCCCAAATTTAAATCTGCTCCTTGTTTTATCTACGTGGCATCCCAATCCCACAAGAAATGAACACCAGCATCTCTTGAAGAGACAGAAGACRAATTCCCTCTTCTAAATAATTTCCACGGAGTATGTTTAGTACATGCATTTATATTCAGCATGCTTAATGTTAGTCCAGTTGGTTAAGCAGAGGTCTTCACAATGCTCTCAGCATGACCCAGATTTGCCGAACTGAACAAATAACTAACTACTGAAATCAGCTGCCCATAGGAATAATGGAAAAGGACTGACATTAGATTACAACATTCCAACGTACGTTCAACAAAAGTGTCATCTAAAAAATGGTAATCAAAGGCGGTCACCATTGCTTTAAAATGTATTCCTTCCAGAGAGCAGTTATGTAGTCATTATCACATAAATGGCTACCCAGTCATAGAACATGAGAATTATAGCCCACTGACTGAGGCAAAAGTATCCACACACCACCGTTGCCTCCAGACCTTCTCTGCCTTCAGCACTGCACTAACTGAGCTCCATGTGAATGGAGAAAAGGAGGGTCAGTTTTGCTCTGCATGTGTGAAACAGGCAGGGACCGAAGATGCTCTCATAACTTCCTCTGCAGCAGAAGAGCTCCCAGGTACACTGTCAACTGCACCCCTGAGAAGCTTTTGCTTCACTGACATAACCAGTTACCGTGGCCCMAATGTTACACAGTAATGTCATGTTCTGGATATCTTGAGGTGAAAGCTGCTGCTGCCTTGCATGTACTCTGTATTCTTGCTCCCTTCTAACGAGACTAAACACAATCCTTACAATTTGGTCATATCTAGATACAGCAATGCTAATAAGGGGAAAAAAAAAATCAGAAAAATGATAATAAAGATAGCATCGTTTTTGACCCTATTCACAGTTTAATCTTTTCTAGTCAATTTAGTTGTAAGGATTGCCTTTTCTTACTGATCTCAGGTTGTCAATGACTAGACAGAAATTTTAACAACCTGCAAAAGGAAAACAGGCAGTGAACTTTGTGGTGTGCAGACTGTGTTAAGGACAAAATCTGGCATTCATTCCTCTTACAAAGAATATGTTTAGGCTTTCTTTTTTTTTTTTTTTTTTTTTTAAATTTTTAAATAAAAAAAGTTGACAAAAAGAAAACATTTCCCTTGAAAAAATGCACAGCTTCCAATTGCACATCTTTACAGAGGGAAAAAAAAAAAGGAGAAAGAAAATACCTGAAGTTTAAAAGTCTGATTAACGAAAGACATGAAAGACTTTGTAAGCAGTACCCAGAACAAAGCTTAGGTGTTCTGTCATACTAAAACATACTGAAGAGATCAATAAATCCCTTACCACTTTTTAATACAGTCTCGTCCCTTTAAGAAGAGTGAGAATACTGAATTCTTTCAGTCCTATCAAACACAGACAAAACCTGCAAAGCTCAGGGAACAAAACCATTATACACTGCATGTAGCTACATGAGATTCTGATACTCACAAAGCTTCAATGGAAGTAACTCTGTGTGAAGACAATGTTCACAGTCTCTGTACTAGGACAGACCAAAGGTTTTCAAGCCTCGCTTAGGATTTTAAACAGACATAAAAAAATCTCTCCTTTGATTCTTTGTCTTACCTTTTCTTTGTATCAATGAATAATTAAGTTGAAATCACAAATTACCCTATACTATATTAGCAGCTTTTGAAAATAGAAAATCAAAGCTGAAAGGGAGAAATAACAACATTTGAAGCAAGACATTTTGAAAAACAAATACAAAATCTACAACTAATATTACACACGAAATACAAAGTATAGTTTAAATTTGCCTTGATGGATTTGCCTCGGCAATTGGCCGAGGTTATTGCTCAGCCGCTCTCCATCATCTTTAAGAGGTCCTGGAGAGCAGGGGAGGTGCCCGAGGACTCGAAGAGAGCCAACGTCACTCCAGTCTTCAAAARGGGCAAGAGGGAGGAGCCGGGCAATTACAGGCCGGTCAGCCTCACCTCTGTCCCTGGAAAGGTGATGGAGCGGTTCATCCTAGAGAGAATCTCCAGGCATATGRAGGAGAAGAAGSTGYTGAGGAGCAGTCAGCATGGATTCACCAAGGGGAAGTCATGTCTGACGAACCTCATAGCCTTCTACGATGGGATGACAGGCTGGCTGGACGAGGGGAGAGCCGTGGATGTGTCTACCTTGACTTCAGCAAGGCTTTTGACACTGTCTCACATAACATCCTCATACAGAAGCTCTGGGAGAGTGGACTAGACAAGTACACCGTGTGGTGGATCGAGGGCTGGCTGGATGGCAGAGCTCAGAGGGTGGTCATAAATGGGGCCAAGTCCGGTTGGAGGCCTGTGGCCAGTGGTGTCCCCCAGGGGTCAGTACTGGGCCCAGTGCTATTCAGTTTGTTCATCAATGACCTGGACGAGGGCACGGAGTGCAGCCTGAGCAAGTTTGCAGATGACACCAAGCTGGGTGGAGTGGCCGACACTCCGGAGGGCTGYGMTGCCATCCAGAGGGACCTGGATAGGCTGGAGAGTTGGAYAGAGAGGAACCTCATGAGGTTCAATAAGGACAAGTGCAGGGTCCTGCCCCTGGGCAGGAATAACCYCAGGCAYCAGKACAGATTAGGGGTKGACCTGCTGGAAAGCACCTCCACGGAGAGGGACCTGGGAGTCCTGGTTGACACTAAGTTAACCAYRAGTGAGCAGTGTGCCCTCGTGGCCAAGAAGGCTAATGGGATCCTGGCCTGCATCAGGAGGAGTGTTGCCAGCAGGTCAAGGGAGGGGATTCTGCCCCTCTACTCAGCTCTGGTGAGGCCGCACSTGGAGTACTGTGTGCAGTTCTGGGCTCCCCAGGACAAGAGGGACGTGGAGCTTCTTGAGAGGATCCAGAGAAGAGCAACTAAGATGATTAAGGGACTGGAGCATCTCTCATATGAGGAGAGACTGAGTGAGCTGGGCCTGTTTTCCCTGGAGAAAAGGCAGAGAGGGGATCCGATTAACATGTATAAGTTCATGAAGGGAGAATGCAGGGAAGAAGGGGACAAGCTCTTCTCATTGGTGCCCAGCGATAGGACAAGGGGTAATGGGCATAAGCTGAAACACAGGCAGTTCCATCTCCAGGTGAGGAGGAACTTCTTTACTGTTAGGGTGACAGAGCAGTGGAACAGGCTRCCCAGGGAGGTTGTGGAGTCWCCTWCTCTGGAGGTCTTCCAGACCCGCCTGGATGCCTCCCTGTGCCCCGTGCTCTAGGTGTGCCTGCTTGAGTGGGAAGGTTGGACTAGATGATCTCTAGTCCCTTCCAACCTTGAATATTCTGTGATTCTGTGATGGAACAATAACCAATTCTTTTGAAAGTAAATGCAACCAACAATTTTAGAATATACACAATTGCTTCATAATTAGTGACCTTCACAACAGCACTCATCTGCCACATGATGTCCATTTGCTTTTTTTCTCCCTTTTCAAAAACAGAACATGAAGTCTGCAAAGACAAATACTATTATCTACTGAGATGAACTATATTCATGTTCCGTTTAAATATTGCTGGCAATTAGAAAACACAACACAGGAAACTAAAGCAATATGAGTGACCCTAACACAGTACTCAATAAGTTTAATCAGAAGATGGATTTTTCTTTTTCCTCTCTACTRCATTCACAAGAATATACATGAGGAAGTGAGGGCAGAGAATAAAATGGAGTTGGAGGAACCAGTGTAATCTTTGAGCAGAAAAAAAGTTGGGAGGCACGGTATAAAATTAGCATCCACTGATATTCTTCTCATTGTAAAATTACCTAATATGTGGAAAAACATTTACTTGCCTATTACCTGAAGATGAAAGCTGAATTAATTCAAACTTCGTTACAAGACCTGGAAGACAAAAAACAAATTAGAGTAGTGTAGATAAGTAATTAGAATAGATTTACTGTTTATTCCTGAGGTACACAAACTGGAAACTAAGCTAATAGTAAAGAATGAAGGATAGCAAAATAGAAAGGAGAGAGGCTTAGACAGAAGGGTAAGGGAGAACAGAGAGACAGATTTAGGGTTAGTCCTTCTTTCAACAAGTTCCTGGTGTATTTACTGTAAGGTTACTATTAGCACTTTAAAAGAAGTAAACAGCAGAGAAGCACCAGCACAAACAACTTTGTGGTTGACACCTGGTGGGATTAGACAATAATTGAACAATCACTGCCTCAATAGCTTCAAGATTGACATTCTGCTGAGATTACAAGAGTAGCTTGGTCCAGCGCACAAAAACCTGAGATCCAGTAAGAACAAATGGGTGCTAACTAGATTAAGACTAAGGGATGATAACTGTTTGAAGTAGCGGCAGCATCTGCTTCTGTCAGTATGACTGAAGAAGTGTGGCTGCATAGAGCAGGTGACTTGAAGTGGTGAAACAGAATGTAAGTAGTACTCATTTTTTATTTCACCAATAAATAATATTTTTAGCTTTAAAAGAATATCCAGTTGCTAAATTCACGACATGTTACAAACTTCAAGAGAAAGATTTACAGAGGAAAAAAAAATAGCCTTGTGAAGTCTGCCTAGCACTAGCTAGGTACACAGATGTATCAGAAAACATCCTGGCCTGAGAATGGAAAATGATGCCATTCACTCTACAGGAGGTAAAGACTGCCACCCAAATGAGTGAATTCAGAGAAACATGCAAGGGTAACAACATTTACCTAAGACAAGCAGAAAGACAGACGGTGTGCATACAGGTACCTACTTGGTCATTTTTTAGTTCTTCAGCTATTGCAAATATTTTTAATATTTTATATTTTAATACTTTATATATATTATATTTTAATATTTAATGTTTTAATAATTTTCAAAAAATTATACTTACTTTCAAGTATTTCAGTTACAGCAGCAGGATCTACAGCATTTTCAAAGACCTTCAGGATAATAAAAGTGAGTGAACAGTCATTACAGTACAAATTAATTTAATAAMCTAGCATTCACAGAGTCATTTTACTACTTGTTGCCTATTTTGATCATGCTGCCACTAAGCAAAATCAAACTAAACTAATAATATATATTTATGAGAAGAGTAATTTTTTATGCTGCTTACATTTTTATTTTTTAAAGTATGTGATAGTTTGGAAAAAAAATCTTGAAACTGCACCTGCATCACTGTCTTCATCAACTTTACAACAGTCTGCACTTTACAGGAAAATCATCATTATTTGTAGTATCCTAAGTATAATTCCACTGAGAGTAAGAAAGTAGAAGCAATTAGAGAATGCATGTTTAGAAACACTTGAATTTTTAGTGAAATTTATGGAACATATCTCAAAAGGAAAATTAAAAGCTCTAGCTGCAAGCATCTTAAAGCACAGGTCACCTTCACAAGGACAAAGGTAAACAAGGAGGTGTAAGGAGGTGTTCCTCTGTTTCTCTATAAGACATAAAAATTACCCCAGATATTTTATAAATACAGAATGAAATAAAATGCCATTCATAATATTTGTTTATCAAATAAGCATATTTTGCTATCTTTAGTTCTAAAGCAAACTTAGTTTCTACAGCAAATTATGTCCGGAATTATTCAAATTTATTTTTCTTATTGCTTGGAATGAAATTGTGATCCTTTTGTAATAAATGGGAATTTTAATACATATTCCAGGCAGTATTTCATGCTGATGTCCTGCCTATCTAAAGAAGCTTCCCTTTGCTGTATCTCACTCACTTGAACATTTTTGAGCAGCTTTTCCATGTCTCATGGAACTTATCAACATCCTTCTGCCAATATTATCAGTGTTTTCAAAATATATTTTAGTGAAAACATTTTTGGGTAGGGCTGAGCAAAACCTGTGTTTTCACTGAGAAACAAAATGTGTTGCTTCATGCTAGGTAACACCTAAACATGAAAAACACCAATTCACATACACGTTACTATGCGATAAAACAGGCTGTGAACTTATCTAGCATTACCTGCTTCATGGTAATTACCCTGATCCTCCTCCTCCGCATTCAGAGCRCTTATCACTATATGCCATTGTCACTTCTGAGATTAAAGAACTGTCCGGAGGAGATGCCACCCTGTAACCATTGTTATCAATAAAACCTCAAACTGCAAAATCTTGAGGTAGTGTTAAAATGTATTCCTTTTTAGCAGTGCATCTAATACTTTGTCATACTGTATCAAAATACTTACAAACTAATACTTACCTACCAGTCATACAAAAAAGTTAGGTTGTGCAGGAATCGTACCAGGCACTGGACCATTTAGCTTAAAGYATGTAACAAGTGAAACTCACCTTTTCAAACACCATCTTCTCATGAAACAACAGGGGGAAAACGGGAGGAAGGCATTCCGTCTGCTTGTGTTGGCCCAAGATGTACACGCCGAGATAAACATCATGTTTCTCTGGTAGGAAAACACCAGGACATGTGACCTTACGAGAGAAAAGAATCAGTGTTCACATGATATTGTGAAATTCAGTCTCACACGCATGCACCAGACACACAGGTACTCATTCAGTGGGACTACCATTCAATAGGACTCAATCTCTGGGAACAGAAAACATAAATCCCTGAAAAACGTGCTCCTCACTGCCAGCTTACAAAGTGTGTCCAAAAACTACATCTCAGCATCTATTTCAGCCAAAATATTTTAAAACTATTTTTTTTAAAATCAGCGTATTATATTATATTATGTTATGTCATTTTATATCATTGTAATGGCAATTTATCAGTATTGATACTCCAAAATTTTGTCATGAATAGCTATGGACGTGTAAGCTCTATTCACAATTTGTATCTACAGATTCATGGTAAACACACCTGGCATACTTACACATTTAAATTAGTGGTATAGCTCTTTGCCATCCACCTTTGAGACTGATGAGAAATTTAATTTCTAAGCACACAGTTGCAAACCCAAGCCATCTTCTTGTCATCTGTATACTGTTTCCAAGACCCCTTGATGAAATGATACATTGTTGATGTGCTCTACAGCACAGAATTATGTCTCTATCTCTTTTTTTCTTTTTTTTCCCATAACTAACAAGCCAAATTGCCATGAACAAAAGAGCAAGTCCCATGCAGGGTATGAATGAGGTTTACAGTCTCCTGACAGCACCCAAACCTTCTCCGCAACCACCCAAGACCTCCTCCGGACTGCGAGAACCACCGAGTCTCTGCTATATTTACGCATTTAACACCCAAAGTATTAAAGCACGGCAAGTTCTGACACTTCATGGCGGGACTTTATTTTCTTTTCTTATTTTTTAAGAGCTCCCTTTTACCAGACCGACTTCCTAGACACTGGTACCCGACGCTCCGCACACCAGCGGACACCGGCGGACACCCGAAAGGGGCGGAATGACCAAAACCCAGCATTTTCCCCCGTTTCTGCTGTGGTTGTCGCTGTCGAACCCGGCGCTCACCGCCTGCACCTGCAGCTCCACCGCCACGCGCAGCGGCATGGCGCCCCGCCCGCCACGCGGCGCCGCGCGTCGCCATGGCGACCGCACGCGTCCCCCAACGGCCGCCGCGCCCCGCGCGCGCACCGAACGGGCGGCGCCCAACGGCCGCGCCGCGCACGCGCGCGCCGCAAACTGCCCTACCCATATATATATATATATATGTATATATAATATAGACCTCTATACATATTTACTTATGCCTGTATATGTAACGTACGAGGTGAGGGCTCTCAGGGCAGGCCCCGCCGCTACGAGCAGCGGGGAAGGCCCCGCGCGGCGGCGGCTCCTGGCGCGACTCCCGCCCTCCCCTCCCCCTCCGTCCCCCCGCACCCGCCCCGCGGCCGCCGGTATTGCCGGAAGTGTCGCGCGGCCCCGCTTCCGGCGAGGCGCGCGGGCGGCGGGGATGGCGCTGTGGCCGCCGCGCTCGCGGGACTCGCCGCCGGAGGAGGAGGAGGAGGAGGAGGGGCGGCGGGCGCCCCCCGCGCCCCGCCAGCGCCC